TGGATGGATGGATGGATGGATGGATGGATGGATGGATGGATGGATGGATGGATGGATGGATGGATGGATGGATAGATAAGGGCGTTGGACAGACTGACCTCTGTGAGTTTTCCGCATACGGTGCATTTGTTTTTGATCCCAGTTTTAGGCGGGTTGTGCTTGTTCTCGTACGCGCCCAAGCAGCCGGTTGTACAGAACTCCTGAAAAGACTCGCTGGAGTCGACCTGGGCAACAATTGTGCCCTTGATATGCGTGATGTCTCTGGAACAAACAAAGACAAAAAAACAAACCAATCATATGATGAAAAGATTTCTACAGAAAACGTAAACCAATTAGTGAAAAAAAATGAACTGAACTAGAAATCTGATATGAACTTAGAACAGTAAAATGAAAACACTTTAAGGCATAAAAGGAAAAAGACTCACTTTTTACACATAGTACAGGTTTTCTTGGGTGTAGGTTTGTGTGAAAAGGCAGAGAGACAGGTGGTGGAGCAGAACAGGTGGGAGGAGCCTTTTCGCTGGTAGGCTGTCTGGCCTTTCTTTAGAGGCTTTTTACAGTTAGCGCAGGTCACCTGTCAGGTTCACAAACAGGAATGAAAGACAACAGATTTTTTCAATTATCATCATTCCCACCATCTTTCCAGGCCGACATACCAAACTTATTTTTCAGACTCACATTCGTACAAAGCTGGTACTTTTTTTGTTGATTACTTTAAATACAAAACCTGACAAATATCTAAATAGTTGCATTTACATTTTCAGTGACACCGTCAACAGCAGCAGGTGATCTCTGGCTTTTCTTCCAGATCTTTTAGTTATCAGGTTCGTCTCCTATTGAGCAAACTACCAGTTTAGTCCGTGAGGCAGACACCCTGTCTACTTTTAAGTCAAGGCATAAAACTTTCCTTTCTGATAAAAACTTGTGGTTAAATGCTGTGCTGCTACAATCAACACTTTTTAAAAAAATACATGTTGGAGCTCTGCCTTTTTTCCAGTGTAGTCCTGTTTCTCTGACTGTTACTGGCTGGATGTGCTCTCTTTATCCTGACATGGGAGCTGGCTTGCAGTTTGTCTACCTGACTGTGTGTTTCCTGTGTGTATCTCTACTTCTTTTTTATCTCTGCAGCTTCTGTCTCCTTGAACCCGAGTCGGCCTCGGCAGATGGCTGACCACACTGAGCCAGGTTCTGCTGCAGGTTTCTTCCTCTCCACTAACACTACAAGCATGCTTGGTGTGAGGGATTCGAGTTAATGAGTCGGTTTAATCAACTGGTTTTCTTTAGATAGAAAACTTTGAACCAGTCTGACTGTATCATTGTTTCTGTAAAGTGCCTTGAGAAGACGTGTTGTGAATTGGCGCTATATAAATAAACTGAATTGAATTGTTGGTTTAAATTGTTAGTACAAATGCTGTGGATCCGTTAGTCATACAAGTTTAAACAGATTTTGAATACATTTTTTCCTAAGCCTTGAGGGGGACAAAAATAGATCCAATAACATTATTTCACTGCAAATTTTCCATAGATTTTTTTTAACAGCAAACCAATCGGATGGAGGGCTGCCAGCCTGTGGGGGCTTACCTTGACCGTCCTTGGTTGTGTCTGGGAGCCTGAGGAGGAAGTAGAGGTGGAAGACTGGCCTGCAGGCTTAGGTAGCGAGGTGGCAGGCGATGGCGAGTCCACCCCGGTTTGCTTTTGGCTGCGGGGAACCGACGCCGACTGAGAGATCCAGGAGTCTTCAACAAAGAGAAAGAAAGAAAATCTTAGTTTTGCATCTGTGGCTTTCACTTGCTCTCTCCCTACATGATTACATGTTTAGGATCGCTCCTTTGCTTTGATTTCTAAATGGCAGCAAAGGCCGGAAGAAAAGCAAAGGACCTAAATATGGCCTCTAAAAGCTGCAGGCAAGCAGCAAAGATCTGAGTCAGTAAAACCAAGATGACCAACAGTAATTAATAGACAAATTATTTTAAAAAGGCTGGTTTAAACAGCAAATATTAAAATGTTTTAAAAATTCTAACAAATCACAAACAATTATAAAGTGTAACAACAATCAGATTTTGACACAAACAAAAATCTCAGCAGGGAGGTTTTTCTGCCCCAGTGAAAGCTTTACTATAGAGCAGAGGTCACGGATTAGCGGACTGCAATCCGGATCCGAACCCATCTGCTGGCTAATCCAGACCCAACCAGATTTTAAAAATTTATAAATTACTGCATTTTGTCCAACGAGGGTGTCTAATTTCACTTTTAGCGCTTCTCCTGTTAATATGGTAAAGCACTTCAGAGTGTCCGGCACCAGGCTGCACATGATACAAATTAGCCAATGAGCTGCTGTCAGTCTGGGTTGCTGCTGCTGCTGCTACATTTAGACACAGCAGGAAAACTTGTGGCAAGCCGGGCGATCGGAAAGAAGGAGAAAGTGTGGACTGCTGGAAGAACTGTGGTGAACTGGTGACAGAAAAGTGAAATGGCGTGCTCAAAGATGACCCTGCACATTCTGAGTATGTTTGGCTCAACCTGCTGCTGTGAAGCAGGATTCTCCACCATGAACGTATTCAAAAATAAATATGGATCCAGGCTCAAAATGAACACCTTGATATGTGCTCTAGAATGGCTCTGTTTCCATTCAAACCCGGGTTTAAAGCCTTGCAGGGCAGCCTAAAGTCAACTGCTCTCATTAAGCCATAAAATTAAATGGTCAGTTCAGATGTTTTATAGAATATGTGAATCAGGAAATTCTATATACACTGAACTGAATGATTGTTGTTCTATACTTCAAAAAACACTTTCGATTTTAAAATGGAAACATTTTCTATTTTTTATATTATATATATAATATTTTTTTTATTTAAAAAGTCAACATGGATGCATAAACACATAAACAGTGTTAAATTTTGTTTAATGTAACAGATTATAATTAGAAATGGGTCCGGAACTTTACTGGTTGATGATTTTCTTCATACGGACACCGCTGAGTTTTAATTGGTTACGCCTGATATAGCGCAATAAAAGATAATCACTCTGGAAACATCGATATGATCATCATCTGCTAAATTCTATGATGCTGCAGCAAATCCATGGTGTGCAAACTCCCAAACTAAACAGTTAAGACAAGATGGACATAAAAACCAAGGGCTGTTAATGACGTTTCTCATTGATAAAAACGGCAAATTTCCAGAAAAAAAAAAAAAAAAAAAAAAAAAAAAAAAAAAAAAAAATCACAAAAATTTAACCAAGCTGTACCGTATCCAACATTTCACTTTATGACTCAAATGTGCAGCTTCAACAGTTTGAGCTCAAAGATTAAATTCAGGGTTCCAGATATGATCATTTAAAGAAATTGGAAATTTGTAAGAAGAAAATATCTTCTGAAATATTATTTGAAATGTCAAACTCCTGAGAACCAACTGTTTAAGATCCTGCATCAAGCAAAATAAAGTTCTTTATTAAATTCATGCAAAAAGTGGACTTTGCTCAAAGTGGCTTAATAAGTTGTGTTTGTCCTGCTAAACTGAGAGGTTTAGTAACAGTATTAGAAAGTTTCTAAATTTAATCGTTTTGCTTTGGGACGTCTGTTTATGTGCACTTATCAGAGCCAAATGTTACAGTTCAGTTATTAAGCTATATAAATTAAAAAAACTCACAATAATACATTCCTTAAAGCGAAAAATGAAAGTTGATTTGTGAAATGAAACTATTTTATGATTTTATTTAGATAGTTGCAGTTTTCTTTTCTTTTTCCCAATGAATATTGATAAAAATCTGTCCCATGTAATGATATTCTAATAACGTAGGCAATTAGCAGACAGATCTGTACGGAAGACGATTAGGGCCAGAAAAAAAAAAGTAAACTGATTTTTACATTTTATTTCAGCTTAGTATGGGGAAAAAAAGTCAGAATTCTGACTTTAATCTCAGAACTCTGACTGAATTCTGACAATAAAGTCAGAATTCTGAGATTAAAGTCAGAATTCTGACTTTTTTCCCATACTAAATAAAATAAAATTTAAAAATCAGTTAACTTTTTTTTTTTTTTTTTCAGTGGCCCTAATCCTCTTCCGTAGATCTGGGTTTAATATACTAAATAAATGTGTAGCTGGGAATCAAAACAAACCAGTGTTGAAACCGTCCTCACTCTCCCCTTCACCGTAGTTCTAAAGGCATCATTTCACCATTTGTCCTTGTAGGTGACTTTGGACGGCTTAAAAAAAAAGAATAACATGATATAGGACCTTTAATATCATAAATCCCAGGATTATTCAGCTCCATTCCCATGGAAATACTCCAACAGTGAATTTGGCAACCATTTCTTAAACCCTGCTCTGTGAGCCAAGGTAACTCTGTAAAAGCTGCAAAGATCCAGTGTCTATCATTTTTGATCCACTAATCTGGCCTGGTGAAAAAATAGCTGCTATTTGCATTTAGTTATAAAATACTTCCTGTTAGTTTGGAAAATAAAATCTCCCCTAAAGGAAATCAAAGTTTTTGATTGTGAAGTGAGAAAATGTGAAAAGATGAAAGCACATTTAGCTTAGCTAGCCTGCTACATCTTCCATCTTCTCATATGTTAAGTTCAGTGACACCAAGAATGGCAGCAGGAGGCTTTAATTCTTCATGACTTCTGCCATCTTGTGACCAATAAGACGGCAGGCTCACATTTGTCCCGCTTCCAGCGTTTAAACCTGACAGGAAACGGTTAACTTCATTTGTTACCTGCTCCCTTGTGTGTCCCCGCCTCTCCATTCTGGATCAGCTGGCTGGCGGAGCCTGAGCCTCGGCCCGGGTTAAAGGAGGTGGTTGATCGAGCAGACGGGGTTTCAGGATTCAGACTGAAGGCACTGCTGATCTGCAGACCGTTCTCCTCCGTATCGTTCTCAACTCCCTAAAGAGAAACAAAACAGAGGTTACAGTTTTCTGCAGAACAATTATCTGAAGAAAAAGTAATCAAGAACCAAAAACTCCAGAAGAAATTAAACATATTTAGCCTTGATGACCTCACCTCTATGACAGCTGCTGCTTCACCTTGGAGGGACGTCACAGAGGTGATCATTAGGTTTATGTCTGCCTGGGAATCGTCTGGATGTGTTGGTGTGTTTGATGCAGAGGTTTTCTGGCTGCTGGGACCTAAAGTGGTAACGCTTGAGATCCTGATTTCTGAATCTGGATCTTTGCTGCTGAGTCCGCCAGGTGAGTGGGATGCAGACGAGTCTCCGGGGGGCAAAGGCGAGAGGGAAGAGCTCTCTTTCTGTTCACAGTCCTCCTCGTCATCGATGACGATGGGCTCTGGTGCTGTGGTTGGGGGCTTCTGGGATACCGCCGCCATGGATGCATTGGAAGACGGAGGAGACTCGGGGCTCTTGGAAGGCGTCGCTGCTGCTGCTGCTGCTGCTGCGTCCTCCTCTGCAGCATCTGCAGCCTCAACAGCTGATTGCTCTGCACTCGCTGCGTTGGATTCATCTTGAGAGGAGGCAGGCCTTTCAGCCTCCTCCTCTACAAGAACTACATCATCATCGTCGTCCTCTGTGCCACCCTCCTTTGTGGCTTCCTCTCCTGTTTCCATGGATACCTCCTCCCCAGCCGCCTCGGCTGGAGGTGGGGTCGGTTGTCGGGATGAAGGAGTGGCATCGAGGAGCTCCGCCTTCTCCTCTGCCATGACAGGGTTTGGCTCCGTCTCCCCATCCATCGCTAAGGCAACCACCTGGAAAATCAAACAAAAGCCGTTGAGGACAGAGTTAGGAGGAGCCCAAACCAGTAATTAGTTTTACAATGTCTGACAGCTGGACAGGTAGCTCAGGTGTCCTCTGAGGTAAACCTCTGAAAGAACACAAACCTCATGGCAGAGGTTTGACCCGTTTAGGTCATTAGATTATTGTTCACTTTGGAGAATTAATAGAAACCAACCATTTAAAATGTCCCTATTTTCACTTTTTCCTGCAGATTGTCCTAAATTATCCTTTTAACTTAACAAAAACATCAATATTCCTCTGAATGCAGAGCATTCAAAATGGAGGTCTTGGCAGTGCTGTGGTGCTGATTTATGCAATTTAGGTCATGCATGTCTACATGCAATTTATCTATTACTACAACGAGCACATTAAACAAAGAAGAAAGGCTGTTATCCATTTCTATAAACCATTCATCTACAGATAATGTAATAGCTAGTTTATTAATTAGCTTGTTTGCTGGAAGCATTTAAGATGTAAAAACCGATCAATCAGGTAGATTACAATTAAACTGAATAAAAAGAATGAATTATTGAGTTCTAAAATAAGCCCTTTTATATAGCAGTATATTAAATCACCTCTGCTAAAGCAAACAGCTAAAACAAATCAACTAAACCCCATTTACTAGTTCTGAAGGAGATTAGAAAGCTTGGTGCACCAGAGTACCTTTTTAATGCATTTATTAAACAAAAATAAAGGCAAAATGCTCAACAGTGAGGAGGAGTTTACAAAGAACGATCTGAGTAAACTAGAGATAAACAGAGAAACGGGATTCTCAGCCCTCCAGAACCTGACTGGTGATCCATATTCTCTTCTGATCAGTGAACCGTCCCGACAGAAGCTACCGAGTTCGCCTAAAGGAAAACATGCAGTATGCGATTATTCTAAATGGCAAGCATTCAAATTTTATATGAAGGCCATTTTGAAAAAAAAAAAAAAATCCTCCCGTCCTCCAAAAATATGTTCTGCTCCATTAAACAAGAAACACCGGTAAACATTTTACCAGTAGAGAAAGCCTGAAACCACAGTCCTCCGTTTTTAAATGTCGGGAAACATGTTTAGAGTTAAAAAGGTGAGAAAAGATCATTAAAAGGAAGCCGTCACTTTTCAGGGAACGATAGAGAGACGGATTTTAGGGCAAAAACAAATAATCAGATGAATCCATTAATCAACCAACATGGTTAAAGAAATAGACTTGGTACACAGACTAAAAAATACCATTTGCTGAAAAGAAAAAATAAAACACCCAAATTAAACTCTACAGATACAAACTATAAACATTTATAAACATGAAAAATATATACAACAAAATCAAATTCTTAATAGATATATTTTAATGTGTATGAATATATTATATTGTTTACATGTTTTGCCATTTTCAATTCACACATGTCATCTCAAGGCACTTAGAGAGACACAATTTAACCAGATCATAGACTCAGATTGATTCAAAGTTTTCTATATAAGGAAAACCAGTTGATTACATTAACTAAGCATGTTTGTAGCGACAGTGGAGAGGAAAAACTCCCTTTTAACAGAAAAAAACCTCCAGCAGAACCAGGCTCACACTGAGGCTGGTTCTTATGGATTTAAAATAGAGTTAAGTATGTTATTTAAATTCGGTTTTTGGCGCAGCCCTAATAGATGTAGGTTCTGATTTATTCGGTACGAAAAGAAGCAGCATGCCATAGGATTACTAAAAAAAGCAAAACTGATCCAAGATAAAGTTGAGCAGGTAAAAGGTTGACTTTACGACAGGAGATATTCTCGGTTTCACACTTCTGGGCTCCTGATCTAATTGAAAAACAATGGCAGACTTTAAGAAGAGGTAAAGGAAAAGTCCATTCAGAGTCACTTTCAGAATAAAAGCTTCCTAAAGTACTTTAAGTATGAAATTATTACATGCTTTTCAATAAATAAGTGTTTTTAATTAAGAGTAATTTCATTTGAATGTTTTGAATGTGATATCGGCTGTTGAGCAAGTCCAAGTGTTGTTTCTGGTGTTTATCACAACGCACTATTACGCATGACGGCGGCGACCAGTGCACTATGCAGAGCAGAGAGTAACGGATTAAAGGCCAGAATTTCGATAGCAAATCCTCTGTTTTCACGTTAGCATTCCAATGACAAACCCGTTCGTGGAGGATCATGAATCGGAAAGGTGAAAAAACTATTTTTTTTCACTTTTACCCAAAGTATTACAACATCCAACTGCCATGCATGTGGGCATTGTCAGTTTAACTATAGCTCAGTTGAGTTTCAATGGTGAAGTCCTCTGGAAATCTTAAATAATTGCTGTTGGTTGTAGATGTTTAGTAGTTCCCATTGATTTTGCTTGTAAAGTGGGTAGAATGGCAAATGGCTTACCGCGCCGTGACGTCACTGCAGGAAGATGTAAGTGGTGAGCGAGGTGTTACTATATTTGGGCAAAAATGGCTGCTCCCAGACTCAGTTATCGCAAATAAAATTATCATTTTAATTTTTTTACTGATTAACACTGAATTCATAAAATCCTCACGAACGTATTAGTTTTAGGTATAGATAATGATCGATTAGTTATTCCTTGCTGACCGGACTTTTCCTTTAAAGTCCTACGTACTGAAGTGGAATTAGCAGAATAAGCAATGCTAACCGTGCTAACTGCTAGCATGAGATGATAAAGTTCGGAGGAGCTAAAGCCCAGCCCTGGACAGCTCTTTTCCTGATGCCTCTCATCTTTTATCTAACTGAACATTATGATTAAATCCTCAGTGGAGTTGAATTAAAACTAAACAAGGAAATTCAGCAGTTTGGTTCAGATGTGTTGGAGAAGGAACACGTCTACTGTTACAGGATAGCCGCTAGCCAAGGCTGGACATGAGCATCGCTGCTAAAGCTACTTTCAACCATCAACTCAGTGAAGTTAATAAAACCTTATGGGAATTTATTTCAGGTTTTTGTTAAAAATCTCTCCTTTGTGTAAGAATTTAGTTTATAGTAACAATCAATGATTAGGTATTGCTGGGGCTTCAACTTTTAGTCTTTGCTTTGTTGATGCAAATGCAATCAATTTAAAATTACCATTGAATACAGAAAATCTAAAGGTTACTTGCGCACTTTAAGAGAAATACTTTTTTAGATGAAGCTTGTGTCCCGAAGAGGCCTATTTATAAATGGGTCTGGATTCATATTTTGTTGCGCTTTAAAAGCAGGGTTAGGCAGTCACTGTTGTCTGCAAAACAATGGAAAGAAGTCATAAACACTTCATTGTTGCTTATTAGCACAAGAAATACCATAAAACACAGTGACAGCTCTGGAGGAAACCATGCGACAATACCTCTGCTCGACATTGAAGTAAGTAATGGCCGCTCACAGCTGGGAGTCTGGAGGAGAATATTCTGGAAGTTTTTTAATTATACTTAATTGACAGATCAAAACTGTACAAAAAAAATGGAGACGTAAATTTGGCCACAATAAATCTGATCAGTCCGCATCTTTTCTCCTCAGCGTCATTCATTACCAAACTCCACACCTTTCTTTCACCTGCTGCCTTTCACCTCCCGCAAAAGGTTCTCACTCGTTGCCCTTGGCAACCAGTGAAGCTACACCTCCGTTGCCAGGGAGATGGTAGAGCCCATCACCTCTAAAGGCTCTCTCTGTGTGCCTCCTCTGGGCGATGTTGTTTTAGTAGTCATGGTTACGCTATACTAACTTATGAATGGAGCTCAAACTCCAGACAGAAATGAACGATCAGAGGTGAAAATCTACAACCAAAGACAAAGTGGGAAAAGACTTCTGTCTGATCAAACTCAAGCAGAACCTTTGAGGATGTCTGCGCTGAAAAAAAAAACCTTATCTGTTTAGTGTCACGTAGCAGTCAGGCCGGCTGCAGGCCCCGTACATCACATCACTGCTGACAGCTGCAGCACAGAGACGCACATGCACACATAACTGGATGGAAAACCAAACGCTGATCTTTGTAGCTCAACAGACATGTGAGACAGGAAGAGCCTGAAAGCACACAAACATCCCTTTGAGCTACGGTATACGCTGCAAGGGAGCTATACCGCCGGAACCACAACGTCTTGGCATCGCCGCGGTGGCCATTTTGATTCCAGCACCACTGAAGACAAACAGCGGGTAAGAAGGTGACCGGTCACACCGGCTATTTCACTGCTTAACTCACACTTTGATCTCATCAACATTTCAGTCAAGCTGATTTTCAGTCATTTCCAATGAATGACTATTGAGAGGATGGCAAAAAACCCCTGTACTGTTCTTATTTAGTTTTTTCTCCTCAAATCCGACCTGCCGCCCCCCCGGCCTCTCTATGAAACATCACATGGCTCTAAACTGGGACACATCCTACTTTGAGTGGTGATGACTGCCCTCACAACTGCCAGGATGGAAAGTTGAAAACGATAAATTTGTTTCTCCTAACATTTTGCTCTATTTCAAAACTTTTAAAACAAGGCCAAACAAGGGCAGTGTGAACAAGGAGGAGTCATGGCGGCCATATTTATAGAAAGAAACATTTTAGAATATAAATGTGGATATTGCACACAGAACCATGTGTTGGTGCCCATTGAGTCCCACGGATTTTCAGTCATTTTCAACCCTTTTTATGCCCTAACCCAATGCCAATTGGGTTTATGCCCTTACCAATGCATACCTCACCCTAACCCTAACCAATTGTCACCTTACCCTTAAACCTAATCATTAGCAAAATAGCATGTGAGGACCGACAAAATGTCCTTATTTTGCAACAACTGGTCCTCAATTTGATGGTGAAATTGGAAAAATGGTCCTCACTCTGAGGGCTAGACAGGTACACACACACACACACAGTGTACAAAATCCAACAGAGTCAGAGCCGTAGGTTACCATGGATACTAACTGGTTTAAGGTGGACTTAATATTATTCAATACGCTACTAAACAGAACATTAATGGCAGAGGAACGAGCTTCACCATTTTGCTCAAAGCTGTCTGCAGCT